CTAAAGAAGTAATAAGGGATAAAGGATAAATTTTAAAAACATTTTTAATACAATAATCCAGCAACTCTTTAGAATATTCACACTGTAGACTGATGAAGGTCACGTTAAAGTTATAAAGATCTCAGCAAAAGAAAAAAAGTGGGACTAGCGCCATAAAACCTGCAGTGTATGAGAAGTCACAGTCAGTTACAAAAGATTTATTTTGTGTGTATCTGGAGGTGACCTCTGTTCTTCTTTCTTACTCTGTGTGTGTGTGTTTTAGCTGAAGCCAAGCTGGAGTCCATCTGGGTGTTTGGATTTGGTCACATCTATCCCTGCCAAGAACAATACTTTTTTTCCCGTTTGCGGCTTGGCTCTTCTTCTGGCACAGATTTACAACTTTAGACTCACGGAGAGTCTTGGCACGACACCAGAGCAATTAAGATACAGCCTCTTTTAGTGATAACCTGTAGTTTATAAGATTTCTGCAAATATTGCTGACCTTGAGTCAATTTAAAGAACCCATACAGTCGTCGCCTTTTACATGCCAAGGCCCACTTTTTTGTCACCTCATGGTTTGTGATCTGTTCGGACAGAATCATATGAGAAAGGAAGTTTTTCCACGAGACGTGGGGTTCGTTAAAAGGTGTTGGGGATGAAAGCACCCAGGAATGTAATACTAAAATGCAGATCATGTGATGGACGATACCAGATCTGCTTGTATCAGCAAAACTTGTTTGATTTAAGTTCTTCTCAGTCTGGAAACAGGTTTTAAATTCTGTTATTCTTGGTCATTTTTGGCTCCGTCAACCAAAATTTAGGTCTAATCATGCAGAATTAAGCATTGCTTGAAAATGACACTCTGGGAAAATTAAGGAAAAAGCACTCCTGATTAAACATTTTTTTATTTTTGCATCCAGATCCATGTGACATTCAGACATATTTGTGGCCTAATGTTCAATGAGAACAGAGTGATGATATTTAGCATTTTGTATAAATTCACAACTTTGTCTTTATAAAATATATTGTGTTTAAGAAATCTTTCCAGAAAGGCAAGAACTACAGGGCGCCAAGTGTAAAATAAAATGTAAAAAATGTCAATAAAACGTTTACATTATTTAGCTCGCTTTCTGAATTGCTAAATGTTGAAGTTTGCCTTTAAGTATTTTGGAATGGAACACAGTTGGCTCTTGTTATGACATCATCATCCAGAGACAATAGCAACTGCTGATGCTGCTAACACTGCTAACACTTCCCTACAAGACCTCAAACTTGCAGTTGCACCTGGTGTCCGAGCTGCACTTCAAACTGCCAGACCACAGGTACCATCCATACTGCTTTCAATGAATACATTTGGAAATTAAATTTTACACGCCATCTTCAGCAGCATTAGCAACGTTAGCAGCATTAGCTGCATTAGCAACGTTAGACGTCATCATCTTTCAACAAAATCAGCTGTTAACAGTGATTTAGAATTTAATATTTACATACAGTATATTATTTAATATTTAAATTTAACATTTAGGAAAAATTTGTAAAAAAGTAGTGAGCTGAATAACAGTGTATTCTCCACTTGGTGTTCCATAAAAGACTGCTTTGGTTGGATATTTGAAAGGGTCATAGTAAGGTTCAGAGCCATAGGAAAACATTAAAATGAGCCAGCAGAGTCACAAAATTGAAGTTGTTTAACAAATAAACCCACTGCATGATCTCACATTAAAGGGCCAATATTATGTGTTTCTCAGGTATATATTTAAATACTATACCATAATAAAGTATCCATGTCACCTTTAGCTGTTATTAAAATGCTGTTTTTATGTTTAAATAGAAAATAAACTTATCTTCTCATCACTTCCTCTTCTAAAGCCTTGAAATTGCCCTCTGTCTCTTTAAGAACCACCTTCCACTTCTGTACTAGCCATTTCGGGGGGGTGGGGGGGGGCTTTGATGCAGTTTACTTGTCATCTGAAAATACATTTCCTCAAAGGTGTTTTTAATCTGAGAAGAGCCTGACTGAGTGAGAAATATTGTTAAAGGCTCAGCAGACAGTTAGGTTTCACTTTCAGTTTGACTTGAGAGCCTGCAGGAGTCATGGGCGGGGTGTGTGTGGAGTGGGGGAGGGGGTGCTCTGCCATGAGGAAGTTCAGCTTAAAGACACGTCCCAGAGGGGGGGGGTGCTATGATGCAGTTTACTTGGCATCTGAAAGTACATTTACTCAAAGGTATTTTTAATCTGAAAAGAGCTTCACTGAGTGAGAAGTAGGGATAGCCGGCAGTCAGTTTAAGTTTCACTTTCAGTTTCACCTGAGAGTCTGCAGGAGTCATGGGGGTGTGTGGGGAGGGTTGGGGGAGGGGGCGCTCTGCCATGAGGAAGTTTGGCTTAAAGACACGTCCCAGCAGCGTTTCTGGTCCCCACCTGTCGTTTTGCTCCTCAGCATGGCTTCCTAAAAACGCTGCAGGTTTTCTCAAACATGTATGAATGAGTCAGAGCAAGGCTTTGGGCATGTTTTTATGAGAATATAACATTATAACATGATATAAAACTCAAAAAAGTTGATTTTACATGATATTGCCCCTTTTAGACGTGTTCAGATAACCGGCTGTGACATCATGTACAATACAAACCCTTTGGACATTTCACCTGGTTTCACTTTTCTTTTAAAGACTTCCTTTAAAAAGTGTGATTTGTTGAGCTCAGACAAACTGGAAATAGACACTGACCCTGTCCCATCCATGTTCAGACAGTGGGTGATGTGTCAGACACGGCGCGCCAAACCCCTTCAGCTGCTCAGCAACAGCATCGAAAACACAAACTGTGGTTAAGATGTAATAGATTTTATATGTGAACTAGAAAGCTGATTAAAATGCTGTTTCTTGTGTGTTTTCATATCTGTCCAAAGCACCAGCAAGCTTCTTCCTCTATAAAGTGTGTTTCCAAATTTCTGATTGCAGAATGAAGCCCCTCCATAAAAACACCCATAAACTGTTACCCCTGCCGAACTTTGACGTGTAAAGTCAAAACATATTTGACTCATCCGACGCACGCAGATGTAAATTTAGCTCTCATCCATCAGCTGGCAAAACATCTCGTTGCTCAGCTGAGTGGGTCCAACAAAATATCACGGCAGGTGCGACGTGCTCTGAGTTTTTCCCACGGTGGGCCGTCCTCGACAGAGAGACAGGTGCACATGGCTCACTGTGCAGCGCATTCTGGATCCCCACTCCACCTCCGTGATGACCTTGAATCTAAAATTTAGCTGGTCTGTAGTTACAGCAGCTAACATTAAACACATGCATGTTTAAATTGTAAAACTTTAAGAGTGGTTATACAATCTGTGTGTACTATTCTGGTACAGACCCCAAACCAATGTTAATGGATGCAGTCAGATGTTAAAGTTATGAACTGAAACTGGATTCCATTACACTGCAAAATCTTTCATCTCAATCTGAAACAAATCAAAGCAATCAATCACTAATTAATAATTACAAAAACTTAATTTAACATTTAAAACCTAACTTTCTAGCCATGTTTCCATCAACATTTTTTATTGCGCTGAAAGGAATTTATTAGTCAGAAACTGATTTAGAAGCACCACACTATTTTCTTAGTTTTCCTTTTAAGTATTGACTTTTATAATCCATTGTTTGACTATTGTTATGTCTTGATTAAAATAGCTTTAGCTACATGCCTGAAACAAAAATGACAACACATAATAATAATCGTTGACACATTTAGGCCAGTTTTTTTTTTTTTTCGTCTGAGTGCCTGCGATTCAGCTGTAGGCCAGTAGTGGGCGGGCCAGCCACTGAAGACACTGTACAAAAGGACCGGAAGTTCCGGTTTCAGGCAACGCTGCTCATTTTGCTTTAGCGTAAGCAATAAAGCTTCGCTCGTAACCAGATCTGGGTTGTATGGTTCCAATTCTTTTACATTTTAATCTATTCAGTATTTACAGGTTTCGTCTCGATTCCAGTTTAACGAACACTAAATTGTCTTACAGCGCATTTCAAAGTATTGCATTAGAAAAGGTGGATGGAAACAGCAAAACCCAGAAAAACTTCCTCAATTTCACAAAAAAGTTTTAATGATCGTTTGAGCTCGTTTTTGGATTTTCCAAAAAAAGAGTTAACGCGCAAAAGAGGAGATGGAAACACATTTGTCGAATAAGTTCTGAAGTTACAGTTCCCACTGTCCAATAACTGTAGAGGCTGCAGCTGCAGCTGGACCCTCCTCCCGCTGTCGGCGTCTTCCCAAATATTCCCGTAAGGTGAAGAGAAGAATTGCATTCCTTTTTCAACGACCACTGACAGCGTAACATCGCCAATACTAGTTGATATTACAGAACAATTACAACTGTCCTGATAGCAGAAACACGTTTTTGATAACTTCTCTCCATTGTCCCGAGATGTGCATCCCTGCGAGTTTGCTATCTCTACTCCCTGTTTACTACAGCCATGTTCAACATCTGACTAATTACACTTTGTGCAGCCTGGTTGATTCGCTCCAAGCCAGTTAATGGAAACACGTCTGATGCATTTTTTTTTGCGACATTTTAAAACTTCACTCAAAATTCACAACAAAATTGGATGGGAACATGGCTACTGATGCTCCCAGAGACCTTCAACCCTGTTCCTCATAACCCCACTACCCTGCATGTTTTAGATCAGGGATGGCAAATCCTGATCCTTGAGGGCCGCTGTTGTGCATGTTTCACAGGTTTCTCTGCTCCAACACACCTGACTTGAATGAATGGGTGATTATCAGATGCCTACAGAACTTGGAAAAGGAAATCAGGTGTGTTGGAGCAGAGAAACAAGTAAAACATACAGGACAGCAGCCCTCAAGACCAGTAGTGGATACTTAGGGTTTGGGTTAGTTGTAGCACCTATTATATA